ACTTCGATTGCGAGGAAATTAAACAGCAACATTACAAATAAACGATTATTTAATTAAAATTGAATGTAAAATTACAACAATTAGACATATTTAAGGTGATGGTTTTTTATTTTATGCACTAGAGCATAAAATTCTACATTATGCAGCCTACACCCAGCATAAATACGAACTTTAAGAGCATGAGAAGTGAAATAGTATATTATTGCAGAGGCCGGGAAGTAAGGGATTGCTGGACCTGTATGAGTTACAAGGACGAGCGTCTGCGAGGCCTTGTATTAATACGAGTCAAGCAATCCCCGTTTCCGCCGAGACATGTATAGAATTTTTCTCAAACAATGTGAGGGAATAATAAAAGACTAAAGAGAGGAAGATGTATAATAGAAAAAGTAAAAAAAAAAATTAATTAATAATAAAAGTAATATTTGACGTATTATGACAATTGCGAAAAGAAAATGTTGTTGTTTTTCCAGGCACATTAATACTAGTGTGTTGAATTTCTAATGATGTGTTTGGGCGTGTATCTATTACTGTATTTTCGTTACAGCTCTTCTCACTAGCACTCATTTTAAATACAAAAAAGACGAAAAAACAAAAGAATACCAAAACGCTTTACTTTAAATGTTACCGCCATTTTATTTTTTTTAAGTAAGCGGTACAGCTAGGTATTTTTAATCCTCGCAATTATCAACAGTGGGGTTAGTTGGCTGTATGAGTTTTTCTTTTGCTTATTTATATGGTCCATTATTAATAGGTAGATTTAAAAGTATAAAGAAGAGGACAGTAATGCATTTTTACTTTGCAGACCGATGACATACTTATGACAAACTTTCCGTGTTCGTTTTTTGAAAGTACTGCAAACTTTCCGAGCATGTTTTAAAAAAGTATGTTAGTTAAGTTTATGCTGTATTGGGTTTATTTTATAATGTATAAATGAACCATACAATTTTGGCTTATGTTATTTTTTTTGTTTTAAGTGTAGCTCCAACATTTTGTTTTTTTTTTCTGTTTGGCCTAATGGTTGACTGGTAGAGAATGCCTTATGGTATTAAGTTCGCCATTTGTACATTAATGCATTGTGCAAAAAGATTAAATACATAAATAAAATCATTCTGCAGAATGTGGCGATCGTATAATAGCATATTATATTACGTTCCCACAATGATATTTTTTCTGTAGTGTTAAATGCTTCAAAATATCACTGCGCTAGTTAGTTTAAGCAAAAAATAGCGTCTTTATTTCGTTTAACGTGTTTCCTTTTACATGTATTGTTCTAATTCGTATGTTGTGTACAATTATATTTTGATATCATGTTTATAATGTTACATATTAAGTAGTAGTTCTAAATATTATTTGTAGTCTGTTGTCTGTTGTTGTGCCATATAAGAAAAAATAATAAAAAAATAAACTAGGGCCTTTGCAAATTTATAATAATTAGCTAATAAGTAAGTATTATTTCTATCTATTTAAATTTCAATTACGCGAGCAATTGACAAAAAATTTGCACCTGCTATCATTGGTCGCCCAGAAACATTATGCATCGAATTTGGGTAAAGTCACATGCCGCTACAGGGTTACGAACCTTTGGCCTCTCAGTCGTTCACCCGTTAAGCTGTCACCGCTCAACAAAAATACGACTTTTTCCTCTCAATATTATTTCTTTATCACGATACATGCAAGTGGAATAAATATTTACGTTTGAAAGCTAAGATAACAACGAGACTATTGATAAATACATTACATACATATTTTCCTTATTTTTCTTTGTTAAAATCCGGCTTTGGTAACGCTTTACATTAATCATTTTGTTACTCAATACAATTCTTATTTGTTATCTCAGTTTGACATGTTTTATAAATTGTAGGTAAAATTGAAAACAGCAACTGATTGTTTGTATCAAATAGTAGTTCGTTCTGTTGTGTTTCATAGCGTAGATTGTACTACGGCTCGGACTGGAATATTATTATGGAGGGTCACCGGAGGAGAAGCGGGAAAAAACTGTTTGTATAGATCAAATGGTTCAGGTATTTAGTATTAAATAATGGTCTTACGAAAAATATACGATACACCTAAGGATATTGTCTAAAGTATGTGCTAATTTGTTACACGATAGTGTAACAAATACTAGAACTAATTATATAAGAATAAAATATCTAACTTTGCGCATAATCCTTGTATGGTGATATGTCTCTTTGAATACTATATACTACAAAGCACCTGCTAATGTTTGTTTTTCAACTGAAGCTTAGTTTAAATTCACGTTTATTACAAAATTTGCAAATTGTCCGACACGTTGCGCGACACGTTGCGCCACCCGCTGCTACGTCACGTCAGTAGACATGGGGAATAGCGTTACATTTCTATCGCCGTGACCGTCGTTCCGGTTCCAAAAAAATCACAGTGATAAATCATCGTGATTTTGTCACGACTGTTAATTTTGTTTGTTACTTATTTAATGCAATTACTTATTTGGATTGTGATAAAGTGTTATGTAATTATATTTCTAGTAGAATACACAGAGTAGATTATACATAAATATAAAATACCAACTCTTCCTATAATAAAACAAATATACAAAAATATTTTACTTTGTTCATAAATAGGTTTATAATAACTGCTGCAGATTTTTTTATACGCCCTTTCTAGTAATAAGCACCTACGACTCTTGTGAGTGAGCAAAGAAAGTCATCCTATTTCATTTACTCCCATCGCCGAAATGGCCCGATTTGAAAAGAACTAGAACGAGTGGCGCGCTCAGTCACCACGGAACGGAGATCGCGCATGGTATGAAATACGTATGTCGTGATGTGAGTGACGGGGATAGCTATTGGAACGGAGGAACACCTATATGACTTTGGAACGTCGTTCCTTTGGAACGTCATTCCTTCGGAACGAGTCACGGTGATACTATTTGACGGCGGATCATCGTGATTTTTTCATCGTGACGTTATTTATCACCCACCTCTACACGTCAGTCGCCATCGAGCGCTTGTCGACGTCGGATCTGTGTCAATTCGTGTCGGATTTTATCCCCCCCCTCAACTCACGCTAGGCTCGTGTTGAAGTGCCTCGCCTTAATGCACGATTAGTTTTCAGTTCTTAAATATGTAAGTAAGTGAAAATTGTCTGTCACAAGTGTCAATAATAACAACAAAATAATCTTTTAACCTGTATCTAATTTTTTTTACTTCGTTTATGAATGCTAAGCATTGAGTGTATAGCCAGAAAGAGAGACGAAATGTCATTTAATTTGTTCGAAAACTATTCTGCCAAATCATTACGGTGACAACTGCGCGCCGATTGGCCAGCCCGAATTCGAAAGAGTTGACGAGTGTTTCGTCGTGTATTGTTTCAATACAAATCGATCGGTTTAACTTGAGCTTTGCTATAATGGAGGAAAATTGAAAAGTTACATATTTAATATTCAATTACCGATGAAATGTGATTCCGTTTGTTTTGTAATTAGATGTTTTGCTGTTTTTCCCACACCACCGACTAGAACAGCCCTCACTGTTAGAGATATTTATCTTTATTACAAAAATACAGAATATGTTTGGAATATACGGAAACGTACACACAGGTCAGTTGTTGGCGCTGTGCTATTTCGGCTTTCTAATTTGTGATTTCAGCGCAAACGGGAGTTGATATTTAAGAGAGTTGAGACGAAATAAGGACCATATATTCCTGGTAACACGTTAGCAATACAGCTCTTATAAATATCAACTCTCGTTTGCACTGAAATATAGACAGGCCAACTACTGACCTGTGTGTACGTCTCCGTATATTCCAATAAATATTCTGTATTTATTGTAATAAAGATAAATATCTCTAACAATGCCGTGCTGTTCTATTCGGTGGTGTGGGAAAAACAGCAAAACATCTAATTACAAAACAAACGGAATCACATTTCATCGGTAATTAAATATTAAATATGTAATTTTGCAATTTTCGTATAGCAAAGCTAAGTGGTCGATTTGAAGTGACGACACCCGTCAATTGTTCCGAACTCGGGCTAGCCAATTGGAGCGCAGTTGTCACAGTAATGATATGGCAGAATAGTTTTAAAACAAATTAAATGACATTTCGTCTCTATTTCTGGTTATATACTCGATGAGAGTACAGCGCAGTCGCAATACTGAAAACTGTTGCTCTCCGTAAGGATAATGTGTTACAAGCAATGTTCATTATATACCTCGGTTCGGTGTACAATAACTTGAGAGGTAGTTACGAATATGTATATTCACATAATCTGTAATATATATATTATAATAGTATAATCGGTTAAAAAGTAAGGCTTTTTGTTATGACTTTGCTCAATATAATATTAATGTCATATCATTGTACATTTGTGTATTTTCTATGTTAATGCGAATATAATAATACTTATTATCCGGAACTACAGTAATACTTTTTTTCCATAATAAACAGGTAAGAATTGGTTCTATCTCATTTTTTAACCGACTTCAAAAAGGAGGGGTTCTCAATTCGACTATATGTTTTTTGTATGTATGTTACGCGATAACTTTATATTATTAATATAAATATTTAATATTTGTGGACCGATTTTGATGATTTTTTTATTGGAAAGAGGGTACCTCAGATGTGTTCCCATTTAAATTTGAAGAAATTATTCCTCAAACTAACAAATTAAAAGCCAAACTAGGGGATGAATGAGTTTCGAGGGCAGTTTTTTAGTACTCTGTACTGATAAAATTATTCCTAAATGCGATCTAATTCTACCAGTGAAAATTTTGAACGGGCATACTTATCGAAAGGGCATTGACACATTACGTCCAAAGTATATAAGGTCATGAAATACAAAAAATACAATTTATTTAGAAAAAAAAACACACATATTGCATCATGCCTATCTCCCACTACGGTAGGCAGAGGCTATGGACGGTCGTCCAGATGGTCATCTGTTACGCTCTGTACATACCTATTTAGCTTATTCCACACACATATTACTTGTGGTGTACATAATAATACTTATCATTACATACCTGGAACAGATACTCGTAGTCCTTTAGGGTATATGGCTTCCAATTTCGCAGGCGGAACTTCGTACGACGCTGCTCTTGATTGCACCGAGCAAAACACTGCTAGTGCTAATAAATGGATTTTAATGACCGCCATGACGTTTGTACTACTCCGCGGTCGCCGCAAGACTGAGCCGATGAGCCTCGGAACTCAGGCAGTTGCGCTAGCGCACCATAAGTTGAAGATTGAAAACAGAATTAGAAGTGACAGGTATAATTTTTATGTAGGTATTAAGTAAAAAGCAGAAGTGCGTGTTAAATGACTCTTTTATGGGAACCTGTGGGTATACGTTTTTACAATAAGATTCCGGAGCATATATTAAGATTATCATTTCCTAAGTTTAAAAACTACTTTAAAAATATTTTGACTGAAAGTCATGTTGCAAAATTGAAGACTACGTGTTAGATAAAGATGTATGGAAAGACGACATGGGTCTAGATTCCACACATATTTGATTCAAAGTGTATTTTATTAGTACTAGCTAGAGTTTCTGGTTCGTTCTTCTCAGGGAAGTCACGAGCAGCAGCTTAAATGTGACGTTTTCAAATGTAAATTTATTTTACCTATGGAACAAATGATTCTTTGACTTTGACTTTGATTTATTTCATGCCAGTAACAGTCTGTAAGCTGTGGTAACCTAATCTGCCCCCATTAATTGAAAAGGCGCATGTCTTTTATTTATTCATTCTTTTTATTTATTATTTATTAGTGGCTTGTTCTGTGTCACAATTCCGCCAATGTCACGTAGGTAGCCTTCTACACGGCAGTAGGTGAATTTATTTTCAAATATAATTATCACCATTACTGCTACGCTGTCTGTGAGACTTTATCTAAAACAAAGCACTCAACTACAACATCCCAGGACAACACAAAGCAGCCCAATGATTCATGATTGTTAGTAAATTTTTTGGGTAAATTAATGATTTTTCTCATTGACTTACAATTATATGGACGTCGGGTCCGCGCTAAAAAGTGTCCGAACTTATAGGGCGCTAAAATCGTATACAGAGCGTCATTCACGCTTTAGTCTTCGTTTGTTCGACTGACAGCGAAGCAAGCAAAATTAGACAGTACTGCGATGACATTACAATTTAAATTCAACATTTTAGCTTTTTCATATTCCTTTACATGTCACTACGTTTAAATAGGTTGACTTGGGACATTTTTTTCGTGGTTTTTGTATTAGACCCGTCGTCCATTTATTTATAAGTCAATGATTTTTCTTTATAATATTAAGTGCCAGAACGACCAAGTCGTGCGCCTGATGGTAAGCTACACGCCTGTCCATAACACTTGCAGTGCCACTCAGAGCTTAAATCGCAAAGACCTGAGGGGCACTGCCACTGCGTCCTGAGACATAAGTTGACAAGTCCCATGTGCCTGTAATTTCACCAGCACCCGTAACCTTCAAAACCGTAGTAACACAGTAATGCTGACATTACTTACTGCTTGACGGCAGAAATAGGGAAGGTTACTAAGAATTACAAACAAACAAAGGTTTAAAAAAAATACAATTTTAATAATAAGAAACGCTCAACTTAGGACAGTTAAAAAACATGGTCTGTGGTTCCTTCATCAACGCCACATTCACAGAGGAAGGTATTTTTAAACCTGATTGACAATTATTAAAAAAATATTATGCATACTGCCGTGAGCAGTAAAAAGAGGTTGACCTGTCACTACTTTTATATGTTTGTCCTACGTGGATAAGGTATAAAGTTACCGCAAGAGAAAAGTACACATTTATTAATATTTATTTCTTTAAACATTCTTTTTTCGGTTTTGAGTATTTGTCACAAGCCTTTCAATTAACGGTAGCGGTAATGGTTTGCCCTATCGCCTTTGAATGGGTTCGAATGCGGGTTTGCATGTCTGATTTTTTTGGAATTTATGTGCGAAATTGAATTTTAAATTCACAATGAACTTTTCAGTGAAGGAAAACATTGTGAGGAATCTGTACACATTTATAACACTGAATTCTAACAAACTGAAACTGAATTGTAACAACTCTGAATCGTATTTTTGTGCCTACCGTATCCACCCATCTAACATTTATTTGAATATTTTGCCATAGTCAGTTATGGCTACTGTACTGCATCTTAAGTTACAATATAAGACCGCGACAAATTTCGCACACGATGAGCAAAATGCATCTCGTTAACTAAAGTTACATGAGTTAGCCGTGACTGAGTTTGTATGAAGACTTCGAAGACCTCCACCTCATTTGATGAAAAAACGATGAGGGCGTCGATGAAGCATGAATACCTTGAAAAGGCTCCAGTTATAGAGTTCAGGGAATAAGTCTGCAAGCGGAAAATTCTACTTCATAGCCGTTTGCCATAATAATGTAGAAGCGTAACCCTTCATTTCGCTAATTTAGTAATATCTAAGAATCTTAGTTCATTATTAATATTTAAATAATATTACAAGAAAAAAAAACGACTTTTTATATTTCATATTAAGAGGAATTTAGTTATACATATCCGCGGCCATTTACACAATATAAATTACTTCCAGCCTATCGCTGATCGCCATCTAAATATAAATTTTAACTGAATCACCAATTTGTTTTATTTAAAAGGTATGTGCTTTGTCAATAATCCTATCCGTCCACCTTAGCTCTCCAAAGTTATATTATAAGGGCCCTTATCTTCATTCTGACCTCGAATAAGTAAGCTTCGTCATGTATTGGTATAACTGCATATGATAGGTGCAGTATGGCGAACTTTGAATTCGCAATCATGTGTTATTTTTGAAAAAGAATAAAAGATTTATTTATTTTAAATCTGCATGATTAATAAATGGCGGGCCTTTGAAATTACAAGTAGGGTAAGGAGTGTGATGATTTAATGTTAGCATACCCACAGTATGGACATGTGAACAATGACGGCGACACTCGCTGCAAAACTGCATCACCATTTTAGCTCCATGATAACGCAAGACCTCATACTGCTCGAGAAACAGTTAGAAACTATCTGTCACTTTACATACCCACCGGACCTTGCTCCAACAAACTACAATTTTTCCGCGATTTGGACTATTTTTTGCACCAAAAAAAATTTTCCCAGGAAGAGGTACGAAATGTCTTCACACGGCTTGTGGAGTCCAGGTCCCCAGAGTTCTATAGCAAAGGTTTAAATGACCTTCCGATTAGATGGCAGAAATGTACGGACAACGAGGGTAAATACTTTGATTAAAGAAATATATTTTATCTTACGAAGAAAATTGTTTTCATTTTTGAGTACGAAACGGCAATTTCATACTTTAACAATCACAGATAAGAAACCCCCTATATTAACGTCTTTCGAGCGTCAGCGTCTTGCCAACGAACGCACAGCGTCGACGCGACATCAACTCTGCGGCCACGCAACGCCACCGCGGCGTATACCCTCTCGCCGGTTGAATCGGCGCCGTGGGATCAGTGAACATTCACCACGACGCCGCCCGGCCGCCCTAGCTGACGTTCGGCACTATTCTGCAATCGTCGTGTCAACGTTCTGCGTATGTTGATATGACGTTTTGCGTGCATTGACAAGACTCGAAATGACTTGGTGTGCGGGGTCTCTCAGTTAACAGTTAAATTTTACATTAGAACTGTACACAAACACTGAGAAGCAAAAAAATTTAAAAGAAAAACTCTGACTTGAATCACCTTTTATGGAAAAGAATGAAAAACCTGATTACAGAATAATCGCTTAAGTAGGTCCGGTGAAATATTAAAAAAGTCAATATCGTACTACCTCGCCACTCTGTTATAGCAATCACTAGACCTAATGAAGTAGGAATTTCGTCTATAATTTACCTTCGCCAAAGGTACATACATGTAGTACGCTAGGATGTCGAAGTGAAGCCACTGGAACTCGTAATCCAATGTGAAGAAGCAGCTCAGGACAATCGACCGAGCCACTTGCTATTCTAAGTAAATACAGGATATCAGCCATCCGCCTTCTTTCATGTAACGGTAATGTTTTTTTGTAATTTATAATCAATATATTATATATTTTCTTGAAATGGCATTTCGTATAGTTCTTAGCTCTGTGTTTGGCGGTAATGACCGTTGAATGAACCGGTCTCGAATCTTAATAAATGTCCAGAATAATATTATACCATTTTGTACCTTAATTGCGGATGAATTATGACAATTAATCAGAAGTAATCATTTAGAAGTTGTGAAGTTATTAAATTTAATTAAAAGAAAAATTGTAGCATAAAAGAAAAAAGGTACAGAGTACTCAAAAACCAATCTCTAAAGTGCGTGGAATGACATCCATTTGCCAAGTTTTATTAAAATCGGTTACCGGAAAGTGCGAGAAATCGGATTCATCCTAGTTTGCCACCCTTAGAGGTCGGATATTTTCTTCAAATTTAAATGAGACCAATACTGAAGCACCGTCTTACCAGCAAAACAAAAAAGAATCAGTTTAGTTTATATAGCGTTAGTTTAGTTGGTATAGCGTCTGGCACGGTACGCTAGAAGACGTCGGTTCTGACAATTTTTTCTGAGTGTTCGATCTTTGATTAAGACTAAGAGATTAAATTAATCTCCGCTGCATACGCAGTCCGCAGAATACGTGAGCTTACCGATGTTAGTACTGCTAGACTAGTTTACTTTAGTTACTTCCATAGTATAATGTCCTACGGGATTCTCATGTGGGGTAAAACGGCAGATATTCAAACCATATTTGTATTGCAAAAACGAGCGATTCGTTCTGTGTACCGTCTAGGCTCTCGGGTTTCTCTCAGAGAAAAGTTTAAGGAGACTGGTATCATGACTGTGGCATCACAGTACATTTACTCAAATATTTTATATGCCCGTTAAAATATACATAATTTCAATAAGAAAGAAGATATCCATAATATTAACCTTAGAGCTAAATCCAAACTTTATTGGTACCACGATTTCGTTTAACCAAGGTAAACAACTCTTTTATGGGGAACTGTATACGTTTTTACAATAAGATTCCGGAGCATATATTAAGTTTATCATTTCCTAAGTTTAAAAACTACATAGGAATACTACATAGGAATGAAACTATTTTTCCGGATTTAAATCGCGATTTGTTTTTTCAAACAAACCGACGTTTCGGGCCCTTTACAGGTCCCATGGTCACGGTTGACTGAGG